TACTGGGGTTCCAAAAGGCTCCATCCTCAACTCTGTGCTCTTCAATATCTTCATTTATGACTTGGATGAAGGAGACAATGGAATACTAAGTTTGGCAAGGACACCAAACTGGGAGGAGCCATCAACTCAAGGGCAGAGAGGCCCTGCAGAGAGACTTTGACAAATTAGAGAGATGGGCAATCACCAGCCATATGAAATTTAACAAGGGCAAGTGCCAGATCCTGCACTTGGGATGGGGCAACCCTGGTTGTGGGCACAGACTGGAGAAGGAGAGGCTGGAGAGCAGCCCCATGGAAAGGGACCTGGGGGTCCTGGTCAATGGTAAGTTGAACATGAGTCAGCAGTGATCTGGCATCCAGGAGGGCCAAGCATGTCCTGGGGGGCATCAGGCACAGCACGGCCAGCTGGGAAAGGGAGGGAATTGTCCTGCTCTGCACTGAGCTGGGGCGGCATCACCTTGAACCCTATTTGCAGTTTTGGGCAGCACAACATAAAAGAGACAGTGAGTTATTAAAGAAAACCCAAAGTAATGGTAGAAGGATGGGGAAGGGTCTGGAGTCCCTTATGAAGAGGAGCTGAGGTCACTTGGTTTGTTCAGCCTAGAAAAGAGGAACCTGAGGGGAGACTCATTTTGGTTTTCAGCATCCTCACAAGGGGAAGTAGAGGAATAGGCACTGATCTCTTCTCTCTGGTGATCTGTGACAGGACTAAGTAAAATGGCACACAGCTGAGACAGGGGAAGTTCAGGCTGGATATCAGAAAAAGGTTTTTCACCCACAGGGTGGTTGAACACTGGAACAGGCTCCCCAGGGAAGTGGTCACAGCACCAGTCTGTCTGAGTTTAGGAAGCATTTGGACAATGGTCTCAGGCACATGGTGTGAATCTTGGGGTGTCTTGTGCAGGACCAGAAACTGAACTAAATGATCCTGAAGAGTTTGTTTCAACTCAGCATATTCTATGGTTCTATGATTCTAAAAACAACAAAAAAAATTTCCCATTCATTTTTATCCAAGACAAACTACTGAATCAAGGAAGAAACTGAAGAATATTATTATGTGTGCTTGAACAAAGTTGAACAAACAAGTCATCTTTCCAATGGCACAGCTTGAAACAGAAGCAGAATCTTGATTCACAGCTTCCTCTGACAGCCACCAGACAGAGCTACTACTAAAATGTTCAAGGTCATTTACTTAATTGTACTTATAATATTATTGGGCATTAGCTCAAAATGATTATGCAGAAAATTATTGCTTATGTTCCCAAATTATCATTTGCTCTGAAAACTTGTGTAGAGCAGAGAAGTAACGTCTGTGTGACTCCTTCTATAAATAAATGTCTACATCTCAGTTTCCACACAGTAAGTACAATTAAGCAGAAGCACTGAATGGTTTTTCTCAGAATGGAAAAGTACTTCCTAAGAAAACCTTTTACAGAGAGCAGATTCAGGTAGGAGTCTGACTTCACAGACTTCAAAATTTTGTGTCTTGCAGGCTGACAAGAATGCACAATGACCATTCTATTTAATTTCATTGTCCTTTTTGTTAAATGGTTTTACACATAATTTTTCCCCTAACCATTATAAACAAAGCAGAAGTAAAACAAGAGGAAAAACTTGTTTACTGTGCAGATGAATGAGCAGTAGAACAAGTCGCTCAGAGGGGTTGCAGAGTCTCCCTTACTGGAGATATTCAAAAATCATCTGGATGCAATCCTGTGTCATGAGCTCTAAGATGACCCTGCTTGAGCAGGGAAGTTGGACCAGATGATCCACTGTGGTCCCTTCTAACCTCATCCATTATGGGATTCTGTGAAAATATATTTTTTACCAATTTGTATGCTAAACTTGATATAACTTTCTTATTATAAATAAAACCTTTATCTGGAAGATAAATCAAATTATGTCAATAAGGCGTATTAATGCCAGAACTCACTTATTAAAAATGTTAAGCTTAAGAATCCTTTTATTATAACTGTTTTATCTGAAAATTGGTTCTCTTAACAAGATTTAGCAAAATAGTCGTCTGAAATGTTTTCTCCCCAAAAATCCTGGCCAAATCATTCACCATATGGAGACCGTCTTACTGTCTTTAAAATTCAGAAAGGTAGCTCAGTGGCTTTAGAATTTCCCATGGCATGATTACAGTTGTTGGATAGTATCCTGGTATGTACATATGGGAGATGAACTGCATATTTTCATGTGCTACTTTAAACATTTTTTTAAGAAAGCAAGATAATAAATTTCAATTTAAAACAGAAACATTCCAAACCTGAATTGGTAGAGTCAGAGGTACTTGTCATTTAAGACATTAAGTAGATCCCACTAGGTGTGCTGAGCAATTGACCATATCTAGTCTTTAAAAAGACATAGATTAGCTCAACTGTACTCTCTGGGGCCTAATGGTTTGGCAGACTGATGATGCTGCGAGAAGCACAGACAAAAGGTAATTGCCTCTTTGTTTTGTTTTTTACATGTATAGTAGCAATTACATGTTAACTAATGTACTACTAATAATCTATCCTTTTCTCACAGACTTAATGTGACCAGGTACAAACTTGGAAGGGACCTTTAAAAGCCCTTTTGCCCCCTGCCATTGGCATGGATATTTTTCTCTAGATTCAGTTTTTCAAAGTCCTATCCAACATGGCCTTGAACACTTCCAAGGATGGGACATACACAAATTTCCTGATCTGTTCCAGTGTCTACCCAGCCTCATTGTAAATATTTTCTTCCTTATGTTCAATCTAACCCTGCCTTCTTTCAGCTTGGGCCTATTGTTCCCTTTTCTATCACTACAGGCCCTGGTGAAAAGACCTCCTCTGTCTATCTTATAACTCCTCGTTATATATTGAAAGGCTACAATAATGTTTGCCCAGAGCTTTCCCTTCTCCAGGCTGAACAATTCCAACTCTCTCAGCCTGCCTCCTGAGGACAGATGCTCTACCCCACTGACTTTTTTCATGGTCCTCCTCTGGACTTGCTCTAACAGGTTTATGTCTTTCTTTTACTGTGGGCCACAGAGCTGCTCTGTTGATTCAACTAAATAAAGGATGAAATTTTTATCATGGTCTTCTTATTCAAACAGTCTGTGATAACTGGCACATTCAGGCGTCTTTTATAAACTCCAAACAAGACAGTTGGATCTTAGATTGGTTCTATCCAAATCAATGAGATGATGCAGAGAGGCAAACTCACAAAGCCAGATGGGCTCCACAGTTGGGGTGAACTCTAAGAAAGATGCGTGCGAAAATTAGTTAGAACAGTGTTGCACAACCACATCATTCAGAAACTCATGTGAATGCACTCAATTTATAAAGCTGGTGTTCTTCCCCATTCACAATGCCCTTATCATAGTAGCAGGCCATTTAAATATAATTTTTTGTTTAGCTCAGTTATCCAGTTTATGCCCATACTTCGTTTTATGCCACAGAATAGTCTTGGGATGGAACATTTAACCCTTTTTCTTTAAGAGATGCTTGAATTTTGCATTTTTATTTTCAAGTCTCTTGTACTGGTCAAAGTACCAGAAAAGAAAGGAAACTCCAGTTCAAATGACTGCCAGTTTTGTAACTTGAAGGAAAACTAAATATTTAAGGCTTTCAACGTACTCTTTAATGTTGATAGTAAATTTTTCAGAATATATTAAATTGTGTGCATGCATAAAGGCATCACACATGAGGATACAAATTTTCTGCATACAGGAGATCACAGAGACAGAAACACAGACACAAATGTTAATGTATTTCTCCCAGCACTACAGTAACGTAATATGGATGGTAGCACAGGAGTAAAAGCAAAATTTTTCTATATTCTGAGTGACTACTGGTGTATGAGGGAACAGTTAAGAGAGAGACTTTGCAGAAGAGGGTACAGATTCAGTGGAGTTAACAGAGACAAGGGGTAAAGACTTTAAAATGAAAGAGAAAAAACTGAGAATAGATTTAGATTAGATATTAGGAAATCCACATCACTGTGAGGCTGGTGAGACACTAGAAAACGTTTTCCAGAGAAGTTGTGGATTCCCCATTCTCAGAAGGGGCTCAAGAACAGGTTGGAGTGGAGTTTAAAACAATCTGGCCTACTGAAAGGTGCCCCTGCCAGTTCTGAACCAGGTGATCTTTAGGCTTGCTTCCAATGCAAACCATTCTATCATTTTAAGATCCCCTTGTTTTCATCTGAAATGAAAATATGGTTGTGTATAGGCAAATTTTTCAACTCCTGTCTCTCAAATGTATACAAGCTTTACATGAATTAATAGACAAATTAAACAGTAATTAAAAATTGTTATTAAAATCTAACAAAAGGTATTCTGAATGATGATTTTCAGAGTTGCTGCTATTTTCTCTTTGTAGAAGAACAAATGGCAAAACCCCCAAAAATCCAGTGTATGAAAAGAGAATTTAATTAATACTGCATTGTGCCAGAGAGTACAGACGTACTAAGTCTGTGTATAAGGGGTAACTGAATAAGAAAGAAATGGATTAAAAATATTATTTCATACTGGAGCCCTCAGTCCATTATTTTTAACCATAACATCATACTTCACTTCAGGTTGGATTATAAATTCTAGGAGGCATGTACATAACAGATAAGCAGTTTAGCAACAGAAGTTAATAACAATAATGAGTAACTATAATGAATCACGCCTCTGTTGGGGAGGACCAGTGTATCTAGGAAAGTTACAGCTAACATTTAGACTAGCTCTAAATTCCCCTAATACTGAAGACATTGTAATTCCTTAAGCTGACTCCACTTGAAAGTTCATATTGTCATGCACTTAATGACCGTATTGACTTTTAAATTTTGGAGACTGTTACCAGTTGATTATTGCAGGTGTCCCAAAAGCGCAGTAAGTAAATGTCAAAATGCTACAGAAGAAAATTAAACTAAAATAAGATTTCTATTTGCTTTAAGAATGATGCAGTTTGGAGTGTTTTTCTGTTTTTTTTTTTTTTTTTTCCACATGCACATCAAAGTAAGTAAATGAAATGAAATACTCACTCCTGTTATGTAACGAGGTCTATACTGGATGGTTCCAAATAAGCCAAGAATGACTATAATAATATGTATAAAATTTGCGAGGATGGGTGCCCACTGATAACCAAGGAAGTCAAATATCTGCCTCTCGAGCACAGAAACCTATGATTAAAAAGCAAAAGCATAAATAGATTAGAACAAACCAGAAATCATATATGGAGGTGTTTCCCCATCCCATATCCAAGACAATTGCTCTGGGTTAAAAAAAAAAACTTGTCAGCAGTAAAATAAGATGACTTTGAAATGCTTCAACTTCTAGTTTCAATGAAAGCTGCACTTCTCACTGGTTACTGAGTTATATTCTACCAAGATACAAAACTTTTCATCTAGAATGGTATGTTTGCAGGAGGAGAAACACAAATCACTCTTACATACAACAGCAAATGTTTTAGGGTATCAGTGTTTTTATCAGTGTTTTATTTCAATGTTTTAGGGCATCGGTGCTGAATACATGTGATAGGTTTATGACTTCTACTCATCTACACTGTTTCCTTTTACAACACCATCCTTTAGTCTGGTCCTGTCTCTTCCACAATTTCACTGCATTTTGATTTTTATCTCTTCTCTTTACGCTAGCTATTCTGTTACTGGGCTTTTACCTGTAAACAAATACATGCAACTTTTTGACCTGGTTTTGCTGATAATGACTCTAGTTTACATTCTTCCATTGTCAGAAACATCAGCTGAAGTATAAGAGTCTTCCCCAAGACTCTAGATAAATAATATAAAATAATATTAAAAGTCAATTGGGGAACAATCCCAGTCTGATGTTTAATATAATTCCAAACAGACAGATCAGATATTAGAAAAAAAATGCCTCCCTAACAGTACCAGTAGAAATAATTTCACAATTCCAATAGTAGATGTCCCTTAAGTGGTATTCTAAAATTATGTAAAAATACAGTACTGTAGCCCAAACCATAGGTAGAATGACAAGATTTGACAAAAATAATATTCATATTAATATTAGAAGGCAATGTAATGGTGAAGTAAATTTAGACAGAAAGATCAGGAAGTTTCTTTGACAGCATTCCAACAATTTCACTAACTCGAATGGTGAATTGATGAATTTCACAAAAATGTGAATAATGAAAATAAAATTTAAAAATTAAATTATTATTATTAATAATTAAAATAACAGCAATGTAGACACCACACACTCAAAAAAACAAGAAGAAAAAAGAGCAAGAGCAAGAGCAAGAGAAAGAGAAAGAGAATAAGGAAGAGAAAGAAAAAAAGAACAGGTGGTTGCTTCTTTATTAAGTATCATTAAATAACAGGTAACTATTTACTGAGTTTATGTTATGATGTGTACGAACTGAATTAGGTTTCTGTGCCAACCACTCTGTTCATTTAAAAAGTAACACCTTTTAGATCAACTACTAAATGAGCAATTAGTTACTGCTTTTTTATGGTACAGCTATGGGAGAATTTTTCAATTTTCATGCCACAGTCCACTATCACATGAACACTTTTTTTTTTTTGAAATTAAATAAGAAAACTTTTCATTAAAAGACAGCCTACATTCACATCAGCATTGCAAATGTAAAAAGGCTGTTAATTATATGCTATGTACTGACATTTGTTGAACTTTGAGATGGAGACTGCCAAAATAATCCCAGGAAAGTTTGCCAGCCATGTAATTTCAAATTTGAGTGTTCAGGTTTCAGGTCAAACACTGAATTTCTCTTTTCAACAGAGACTTCTTTCACACAATTCATCCTTTTTATAACTAGTCTTAGTATTTTGACTACCATTTTATTTTACATTTTTATTGAAAGAAATTATGTTCCTACATGATCCAAAATGTTTATGAACTATTTGTGCTATCCTACAACTCTCCCTAGCAGAGGAAAGTCACAGAAGAGTTTCCAGAATCCCAAGACATGTCTAATGGTGACAATGGAATGAAGAAGAAACAAAAGGAAGATCAAGCTGTATTAGGAACTTCATGAAAATTCAGATTGCCTGTGCTTCTAAGTTTATCATTAAGAAATATTTCCTTGACTACAGACAGTAATTTATATTAAAAAATGCCAATGTGTGGCATGAAGCAGTATTACATAGGTCAGTGTAAAGTCTGTTACGTGTATCAGCAAAAGACCTGTAACACCTAAGTGCTGTTAAACAGGTAACAAAGGGAAAATTATCCCTCTGAGCACAGAGCTCTTATATTCATCAGATAAACAAAGAGTAAATGAGACGAGCAAAGCAGTGTCAAAAAGAGTGCAGACTGTACACTAGTCTGTTTTTAGTTTAGTAACAGTAGAGATTCAGCAAGCAAAAAACAATGCATGGGAAGATGCAAATCATTCAAACAGCAGGAGATCATCCAGTTAAGTATGCCAATTACAGAGGAAAATTACAGCATGCTAGTTAATTGTATAAAAAGTAGAAAACCTCATATTCCTGACACGACTTCTAGTCAAAAATGAAACTGTGCTACCATGCACCAACATATTTTGTTTTGCTTGTCTTGGTGAAAGATGCAGTTCCACCAAAACTTCCTTGTGGGACTGCATTGGATAAATGGCCGTTCTGTGAGAATCTTTCCTTTTCATACATCAGTGTACTCTTTGTTTTTTCCCATTGCTAGTAATTCCTTCATTACCAAGCAACCACTCAGATTTTGTGGTCATGTTGAAGTTGAGGTGAGTAAATACCAGACAGCGGGGCACACAAGGCAGCGGGTAAATTCAGAAGAAAAGGACAAGTCTGCGCCACTTCAGTCCATGTATATCTACCTCTCATTTGCCACAGGCAGAATTGCTATTAAATTTTCTCACGTCACTTCAAGGAGTCAGCTGTGTGCAGGAGCTGCTGGATATGTGAAATGGCAGCACTCTGTCAGGTATGTACAGATGAAATGCTGTGGAAATGCAACTCCTCCTTAGAAGATCACACTAACATGGCAAGGTGCATTGTGGATTTATGAAATGGAAATTATAGGACAGAACTAGATCTTTATTCCTACTTCCTGAAGAGATGAAGGTGAAGAGACACTAAAACTTATCCACAAACAAACGAAAATATAATAGAGACTTTCTACATGAGTTACTTTCTAAAAAATCTCACTGTGCTTCCAAAAGGAGAAAAGTAGAAAGTAGGACAAAGTAGTAACAAAGACTATTAAAAATAGTATTATGTAGCTTCCTCCTCTTCCACAGATGTCAGAATCATAAGGGATTTCCTTACATAGCAAGAGAAAATATAGATGTGATTTTAAAAGCATTTTATCCCTTTGCTGCAAAATTTTTGGTTAAACTGCACTTTTTCAAATCATACCTGCTAGCTTCAATGTTTAATGATGTTTCAAGGATATTACAGAGATAAAGGAAAGAACTAACAAAGAAATATCAATCTTTAAAGTCAAGGAATTTTCTTTCTTCCTCCTCAGGGATTGTTACTGGCACTTTAGCATTTCTGTTATTGACATGGGCACTGAGGTCTCATGCACCTTCAGTGAGTTTGCTGATGCCACCAAGCTGTGCGGTGCAGGTGACACACTGGAGGGAAGGGATGTCATCCAGAGGGACCTGGTCAGGCTTCAGAGGTCCATTTGTGTGAACCTCATAAAGTTCAACAAGGCCAAGTACAAGTACAAGGTCCTCCATCTGGATTTGGGCAATTCCAAGCCCAAATCCAGGCTGTGCAGAGAGTGGATTGAGAGCAGCCCTGGGTAGACAGATATAGGGTTGTTTGTGGACAAGAAGCAAAACACAAGCTGGCAAAGAGCACTTGCAGCCCAGAAAGCCAACCCCATCCTAGGCTGCATCAAAAAACAGTATGGCCTGCAGGGTGAGGGAAGGGATTCTGTTCTCCTACTCCGCTCTGGTGAGACTCCAGCTGGAGTGCTGCATCCAGCTCTGGGGTCCTCAATACAAGAAAGATGTCAACTGGTAGGAACAAGTCCACTGAGTTCACTGACTAAGTTGGTCACGGGGCTAGACACCTCTCCTGTGAAGACAGGCTGGGAGAGCTGGGACTCTTCAGCCTGGAGAAGAGAAGGCTTCAGGGAGGCCTTAGAGCAGCCTCCCACTAGCAAAGAGGGGCTTACAAGAAACCTGGAGAGGGATTTTTTTAACGAGGGCATGCAATGACATGACAAGGGGAAATGGCTTTAAGATGAAAGAGGGTAGATTTAGATTAGCTATTCGGAACTCTAAGAAACCCTTTCTTGTGAGAGTGGCAAGGTATTGGAACAGGTTGCCCAGAGCAGTTGTGGACTCCTCACTTTCTGGAGGTGTTCAAAACCAGGCTGGATGGGGCTTTGAGAAATGTGGTCTAGTGAAAAATGTCCCTACCCATGACAGGGTTGCTGAAACTAGATAATCTTTAAGGTCCTTTCCAACCTAAACCATCCTGTGATTCTATGATTCAGGGAAAGAGTTTAAATTGAGAAAAGCAAAAGGAAAAAGGTTGCTTTGGATGAAGAAGTATAATGTGGTTGAAAAAGAAAAATGTGTTTTAACTCAATTCCAGGCTAATAATGCAGTAAACTCAGAATGTAGGATTATGGACAGTCAGGTTCTAATATTAGAAAATAATTACTCACCACATTGTCTTCTTAGGCAGATTTGATGTATTCACTGATAAAATTACAGAAGACTTTATTTAAAGGGAACTATTTTACTAACACATTATTTTTTCTGGACTCTGGCAAACTGTTGTAAAAATAAATAGAAAATAAAATGAACCCGTATAGTGCCAAATTGGCATAGCTCAAAAACTATTTCCACATTCTTCTCAGAGGCTGGTTGTTGTTAATAGATGAACAGTGTTACTGACCTTGAGGGATCTATGAGTTGAATTTCCAGAGGAAAATGAAAAACATCTGGAGATTATTCTCAAAGTATATGATTGGACTAGAATTTCAGAAAGGAGCCACAAAGAAGAAACCAGTCAAAAGATGATTTATAACACAAACTCCAAAATAGAAAATGACTAAGTGCCTTTGCTCAGAAATCTCCTTGAGAAGAAACTCAACCACAACTGAAGAAACTCAACCACGACTACTTTACAATGATACAGAATCTAAACTTTGCACAGATATAAATTAAAGTTCACATAGGCAGAGACACGCAAGAGGATATGTACAGCCC